TCGGAAACAGGCTCCAGGCTCTGAGCCATCAGCCCAGAGCCCGACGCAGGGCTCGAACTCACGGACCGCGAGATCGTGACCTGGCTGAAGTCGGACGCTTAACCGACTGCGCCACCCAGGTGCCCCTGTTCTTGGAGGGTTTAGTCTTTTTGTTTAGCAAGAAGCCTGTTGGGTACGTTTAGGGAGAAATCTCCTACTCTTGCTATCACCCTGGCTTGCCTTCAGCGAGAATCCCCCTTCCATTCACTGACCCCCATCCTGCTCCTTGGCTGTCGATTCCCGCTAGTTCTTCTTGTGCTCACGGTGGAGCCCATCTCTCTCCCCTACGACAAACACCCGTTCCAGAGGTCCCCCTGAATGAGGCTGCCTTACCATCTTTAACAAGTGTCAGGAGTAATTTTTTCTTCAGCATTGGCCAGAAATTGGGAGGAGATTTTCCTTTTCCTTTCTCCACCCACCTCGAAGGTTGCAGAAAATTCAACGGGGACAGTAACCTGACGACAGCAGTACGGAAGAGACAAGGGCACTGCTCATCGGTGAAGTTCAAAATGAAAAGCTGTTGGTAAACGCACCTGGGGAATGAGGACATCAGAGAGAAGAAACCGGGAAGGATGCCTGGGAACGTGGCAGGGTGGAGATCCAAGGGTAAAAGAACCTAACAAAGCAGAAATGAATTCATAGTGTGATCCCTCTGAGAGAAAGGACACTTCTTTCTATTCCAGGGTATGTCTAGAAACAGCTCTGGCAAACCGGTGGAGGGCTGAGAACCACTCTGTGCCGTGACCTGAAGTCCCACGCAAGGAGCAACGGTGAACCCCAGCTCATTTGGGTGAGATGGAAATGTGACGAAGAAGGTTCAACAGACAGTAATCAAAGTGACATATTGACCGATGAGAAAAAGACTCTGATTGGAAAAACACCGTTCTAATAATGTGCTCCGGGTCATAGCAACTAATTAAGAAAAGGGCAGAAAAAGACATTCAAGCGATGCAGAAGGCCGTTCACAAATGCTCGGACACAATTCATTTACTAAAAAGGCTTTAGTAGCACAAAAACGCTTCTAAGCTATGGTTCCCGGGGCAGCTGGAACAAGGCTCTTTTCATAAACTTGGGCTAATTTCGGCACAGAGCAGCCTCAATCCGAATTCTTCCTTTGGGCCACAGCCTCCTTTGGACACACGGACGGTGCCATGCGATCAGGCCAACACCGCACACGGGCACCTGGGTCGGTGGATGGTTTCCCCGCAGTATGATCAATAATGCTTCCTAAAATAGGTCTCAGAAGCTGAGCTTAAAATAGTTTCAATTTCTCCCAGTTCCTTCTTATTTCAATTCACAGGGTGGTCTCTGGGAACTAGAGCTGATGGTTTTCTCTGAAGTTAACAAATTGATATTTCGCCTGGAAGCCGCCACGGGCTCGCTTTGGGCCAGCCTTCAGGAGCCCCAGTGTTTGGGGGTCCGCCCCATCAAGGTGACTCTGATCCCCTGTCCTTCCCTGAACCTTTTTTTGAGCCTCAACAATGAATGCTTTGCACAAAGTGGCAGAGTTCCTGACAGAGAAAAATGACTAGTACCTGCCTTTGCCCTCAGAAGCTACCAGCTCGGCCTTGAGGGAAGTGAATAAAAGCAGCGGAGACAGATGGCTTGCTGAAGCCCGCGTGGTGGGGTGGCCACACTGGGAAGTCAAGACACAATGGGGAGAGCTGGGAGACGGCTGCCAGCAGCTCAGCTCTAGAGGCCAGAGAGTTTCCGCTTCTTGTTCGCCAAACAAGCGTCCCTGAGGTACTTCAGGGCCTTGTGTCTCCTTCCAGCTCATTCCTGGCGTGCCTCTCTGGGCCAAACAATGGAACGGGCATCAGCCCAAAGCCACTTCAGAATCATGATAGATTGCATCTACTGTCAGAAAAAACAAAATAAAGGAACAAATTGTTACATTTGCCTGGCAGGTTGTGTTTTGTTTGGTTTTCCCTTCTGCGGGATTGGTTCTAAATACCTCTCGAGGCAAAGTTGGGGAACTGTGCAAGGCCTCCTGGCTGAGCTCCAGGGGTGGGCCCCAGGCAGCCAACCGGAAGGCTCCAGAAGGATTGCTCCAGGACTGGATAGGAGAGACACGGGCCAGCAGGTGGGAGACGGTTAGCTTCCCAAGCTCTTCCCAAGGTGGTGCATGATTAGGCCTGACGCCCCCAAAGGGGCACGTCGCTGCTGCTTTCCGTCGTTGGGCAGGGAGCACTTTGCCCTCTGCTGTGTCTTTCCTGCCCTGACAGGCCAGCGCAGGGGTCAACTTTGGACTGTCCGTGATGTCATTCCTGTAGTAACAACCTTTTCTCTTTTTTCCTTAGCATAATACTTCTTTATTATGGGAAATAGAGGAAGAAAATCCCATAGAGAGGTAATACAGCACCACAATGGCAAGCCCGGACCCCAGCGTCAGCAGACCTGGGTTTGTGGTCGGGCTCTGCTGCTTGGCTGGGTGACCTGTAGCAGGATACTGAAGACAGCCGGACCTCATTTTTCTCATCCGTATAGTAAAGCATCACCAGATCTTTCCTCTTGGGGTAGCGGTGAGGGATCAATGACATAAAGCAGGCAAAGCCCACTTCATTTTGACCTGGCCTTGCTCTGTGAAAAAAAGCCCAAGGCTGACACTTTGAAAGTCTGAATCGCATTTCATTATATTCCTGTAATATAAATGAAACCATCTTCCTGCTGTTAACTCTTTAAGATCATTCCTTCCCCCCCAACTTTTTGTCCCCTTTCCCACACCATTGATAATGCTACAGGGAACGCCTGTGATAAAATGTTAATCTTTGATTGCTAAGAACCTAACGAATCTCCTCAATAACCCCACCATTTTCCCGGAATTCCAGACCTTTTGGTATCAACTGACTGTTGGACACCTATCTCTGGTTTTACTCAAAATTAAATATGAAAACTAGATTTACCATCCCCACCCCTACTCTTGGTTCTAGGGTTTGAGTCTGCTCCTCCGTGGTCCTTGAATCACCCAGAATAGAAACTTGGGTGTCATTCTAAGCTCTTACTTCTTCCTTGTCCTCACATCTGCTCAGGCGCTAAGTTTGATTAACTCACTGCTTCTGTATTTCACCAATCTATCTCCTTCTATTCTCTGTTCACCTGGAGGAATGCAGGACCTCATAACTTCCTCCCCACCCACCCCCCCTTTTTTTAAAAAATAAGCTCTATGTTCAACATGGGGCTCAAACTCATGACCATGACTCGCATCCTCTACCCACTGAGCCAGCCAGGTGCTGCTAACTTTCTATCTTTTGAGACTCTGGTTTCCATAATCCATTCATCCATTTGTCCATCCGTCTGTCCATCCGTCTGTCCATCCGTCCGTCCATCCGTCCATCCATCCATCCATCCATCCATCCATCCATCCAGGCCTCCACCATCCCGTCTATCGGCAGGGGAACAGAATATGCCACCCCAAAATATGCCATTTCATTTTGAATTAAAGTTACTTGAGGGACGCCTGGGTGGCTCAGTCGGGTAAGCATCTGACTTCAGTTCAGGTCATGATCTCATGGTTTGTGGGTTCGAGCTCTGCGTCTGGGCTCTGTGCAGACAGCTCAGAGCCTGGAGCCTGTCTCTTGTCTCCCTCTGATCCTTCCCCGCTTGCTCTCTGTCTCAAATATAAATATTTAAAGAAAAAAAAAGTTACTTGAGAGACAGCCAGTTCAAGAAGCACACTGTGACCCTTCTTCGTCCCCCTGAAAGCAGGAGATAAATGTCCCAGGTGAAAGGCACCTTCCTTGTACCAGGAGGGTAGATGGCATCCTTACCACCAGAAGCAGGGAAGGTAGAGAGCCAAGAGGCTGTATAAACACACTTGTTACTTCCACTAACTTACTGCTCCAAGCCTAAACCCCTTTATCTGGTCAATGTTTTCACAAATCTACTGTTTTCTTTGTCTAAAAGGTAGACAAGCCCCCGCACTGGTCATTTCTTTGAGTCCCATATTTGTATAGGGTTCCCGTGCATACGAAATTAAATTTGTTTTGCTTCTGTCTTAAATTTGTCTTCTGTCCATTATTAGGTCAAAGAACTTAGAAGGAAGGAAGGGAAAGTTTTCCATCCCTACACATCTATCTATCCATCCACACGCTCCCCTGTGAGTTTTCTTCCCAATACGTTAGAATGGTTTCTTCATCACAGTTCAGGGGTCAAAACATCCGGTCCCACTCTGGGTCCCACGGCTTAGCAATTGTGTGTTCCTACAACCCCTCGAGGTCCCCATATCATCATCTGGAAGTCAACGCTCTATGCGTCCTGCCCCCTCGCTGGGCCATCAGAACCAGATGAGACAATGGATGTGAAGGTGCATCTCAAAATGCTCCAAAAGGCTACACAAATGTCTGGCATTAGTACACCTGCGTCCACCTATCAATTCACACTGCCCGGACTGTCCTTTCTGTCTTCATGGCTCCAGGCGTGCCCTCCTCCCCATGATAAGCATCCGGTTTTCTAACTCACTGTTTCAACCTTCCACACCCCGGGTCTTCCTCCTCCTCCCTACCTGACTCACACCAACTCATCTTTCCAGTTCACGGCCTCTGCCAAGTCTTCCGATTACTGAAGCCACAGTACGCGTAGTGAACAATGAATTCATTTTGGGGGGTGACATCTGGTTGTGGTTCAGTTCTTGGGTTCCCAGAGATCCCAATGCGTGGCTTCCTGGTGGACTTCCCAGGGGGAGACTACCACTAAATAAGTAGTTTGTCTCAGCTGTTGCTACTTCTGTTCCATCAGAAGGTCACAAATCATTAACACTCACGGAAAGGTGGCACAGTTATCTTTCAGCTTAGGGCCTCTGAGGTCTCTTCAACTAAAGTCAAATCTAACAAGTGGCAACAGGTTCATTGCGATTTTTATCTTAAAAACTACTTATCAAGCTGGAGAACCCAGGGTACATGTCCTGGTTGTATCAGCTTGGAGAGCGAGCTGGCCGTGGAAGATGAAATCAACTTGACAGGCGACAGCAAAAGTTTTGCAATTCACTGAATTCTGCAGATCTGGACAAGCAGCATCTCAATGACTCCAGCAAAAAGACGGTCACTGCCTAGGTCCCAGAAGGTGCCCCAGCACTATGAGCACATGCGGCCCCAGGGTAGTGGGGGCTATGCTACACAATTGATGTATATCATTCACCTGTGCCTCTCTCTGGCATGAAAGCCTCCTATGTAATCAAACCTAACGTTTTGCTGTTGCCAAACTGAACTGTTGGACCATCAATTCGAGTTTTCATTTTTTTTTAATGTTTATTTATTTTTGAGAGAGAGTGCACGCAGGGAGGGGCAGACAGAGAGGAGACACAGAATCCGAAGCAGGCGCCAGGCTCTGAGAAGCCATCAGCACAGAGCCCGACGCGGGGCTCGAACCCACAAACCGTGAGATCATGACCTGAGCCGAAGTCGGACGCTTAACTGACTGAGCCACCCAGGCGCCCCCATCAACTCTTGAGTTTTAACACTAGCATTTGTTAGCTGTTAGTCCATCCAGTTTGTTGTCGGCCAGCGGAGGACTATCCTGTTAACTAGAAAGTAGTAGCGGATGTCAAAGTTTAGGAGAAAAATTGTGACGGAGAAAAAGAAAGACAGAAAAAACTCATCGGTGAAATTTCCTTCTTTTTGCAAATTAGGAAAAATGATTGCAACATTTGATTTTAGGGGCTGAATCCCTGGGATCAAAGAATAGTTTGAGCCTCAGGCCTCAGTACCAAGGACAGTAAGAGCCTGAGGTGCAACCTAAGATCTTGCACAGAACAGTCCCTTCCAGCATGTTCTAAATAGCCCTTCCTGCTCTTTCTTGTGGACACAAATCTGGGAAATCTTGCTAAAATGCAGGTTCTGGTTCAGTGGCTCTGATGTAGAACCTGAGATTCTATCTAAGAAGCTCCCAGGTGGTGCTGTGCTGAAGTTTCTATAAACATCTGATATTGGGGGCCTTTAAGTTGAGGCAGGGAGTATGGAATAAAGAAACTGCAGGGGAAAATAGTGGTCGGATGGAATTCTATCCCGGCAATGGAAGCCACTGTGAAATTTTCTGATTTGGGCTCTACACGGATCCCGTCAGACAACTCTATGGGAGGTGGGTTTAGTGAGACTGTTCTAGAAAAGAGAGAAGGATGTCATCTAGAGTAACAGTAGTTGGAATGGAGAAAAACAAGATGGATGGAATAGTGAGGAGGCAAAACCATCCAAATAGAATTCCCAAGCTCAGCAACATGGGTACATAAGGCAAATGGAGGGAGTTTGGTCTTTTTCTCCCTAATCCAGTCAGACCCATTTCTCCTCTGAACAATCCTGTTACGGATTCGTCAGCAATCTGCACAAGCAAGAGGCCAGGCTAGAAGTCCACTGTTGCCCTTGCTTTGGGATTCTTCCTGCTCTCTCTCAGACCAACTTGGCTTACAGACCAAGTGGCCATCACGCCTCCAGTGCTGGGAGAACACGTCAGCCTGAGCCTTGGCTGACACCAACCCTTCACACCGGTGCCACGCAGCTCTGCGATGAACGCAGCTTGGAAAATGGAAGGAGGCCAGAGTCTTCTCAAAGGCCAGAAAACAAAACACAGGGAAGCCATCCATACGTGTTGGGGAAAGGACATTTTGAGAGTCCACAAAGACCCAACATTGCTGTTACAGAATTCCTGCAAGGGGCGCCTGGGTGGCTGATTTCGGTGATTTCGGCTTGGGTCGTGATCCTAGCGTCATGGGATCGAGTCCTGAGTTGGGCTTTGCACTGCGTGTGGAGCCTGCTTGGAATCCTCTCCTTCTCCCTCTTCCTCTCTCACAAAAACAATATAAATAAATAAAAGAAAAAAAAAAAAGAATTTCTGCCAGAGATGCAGGTCTGAATCTAATCATGAGAACACAGTTAGGAAAACCCAAGAATGAGGAACATTCACAA